AGCCTTAGAATTTAGTATAACTATGAGGGTCTGTTTGGTTCACAGTCGGAATTGGAATCGAAATCCTTTAGAATCGGAATTGGAATAGCATATTCYCATAGTCTGTTTGGTTCAGACAAGAATGAGAATAATGGAAATTGAAATCAGCGGGAATAGGATTTCATTCCCAAGGAGGAGGCAGGGAATGGCCATTCCCTCAAATGAGGGAATGCTATTCCAACAGAAATGGGAATGAAATTCTGATTCCTCACAATCAAACAGTTGGAATCGAAATAGTTCATTCCGATTCTGATTCCAAACCCCTATTCCTGTGAACCAAATGGGGCCTGAATTCTTTGCATGTTTTATATTGTTATTTAGTGCCATTAGACACCACATAGAAAAAAAGTAAAAAGTTCGATTCCATTGCACGAAATGTAAATGACATTTTCTCCAAAATTTGTTATCATAGTCTTAAGACATTTTATTTGAAATAATTTGAGAGTTTAAACAAACAAGAAAAGTGAGAGAGAGAGCAAAACTAGGTAGCACTGACATGAAAGAAACAACTTCAGTACAAAAAACCTACTATGCAATATTTGATGAGTGTGGTGTGTTTTTGAAACCAGTTTTGGATGGTTTTGACACAGAAAGTATAGTAGTTTATCCTCTACATCAAAAATCTTGAATGTTAAGATCACCTCACTCAATTTTATCTTGAAAATATTTTTCAGAATCTTAATGTTAATATCGCCTCACCCAATTTTATCATAAAAATTAAAAAAATTTCAAAAACAGGCAGACCTGGCAATTACAGAGAAAAAAGGAGCCAAGCTCTTCCTCTTAGGCTACGTTTGCATGCGGTGTAAAAGGTGGTTCGATGTACTTTTACACTCCGGTCCAGTTTTGCGACCATTTGGATGGAGTGTAAAAGTACACTGAATATCAGTGTAAAACTTCACCTTCAAACACTTTTCACCTCGATAATCGATGTATATTATACATCGTTTTTTTCAATGTAAAACTCGACCGAAAGGCTTCTCTCTCGATGTAAAAGCAACGACTCTTTCTCCTGGCACCTCCCTTCTGGCTTCTTCACCGTCTCCGGTGCCTCTGCGTTGCCTTGGTTCTAACCGCCTTTTCACCACCCGTTGGTTCTCCTTCCGTCGTTGCAACCTTCGACGCTACCGGGATAGTAAAAACCTGAAACCCCCTTTTTCAAGCCTCCCGCATCTTCACCCCGATCCTCTGTTTCCCTGCCGTCTTCCTCCGTTACTATTCTTGATACTTGCTCTGAGTCCAACCATTTCAGATCCATGGCCACCAGTTTATACGACTGAAGTCCTTTCCCTTCTAGCATCTCCGGACCCTCTACCGTTGTTCTTACCATAAACACCTCTCCCTGGATCTCCACGTAAAAGCAACGGCTCTTTCTCTTGGCACCTTCCCTTCTGGCTTCTTCATCGTCTCCGATGCCTTTGCGTTGCCTTGGTTCTAACCGCCTTTTCACCACCTGTTGATTTTCCCTTTGTCGTTGCAACCTTCGCCGCTGCCGGAACGTTAAAAACCTGAAGCCCCCCTTTTTTCAAGCCTCCCGCATCTTCACCCCGATCCCCTGTTTCCCTGTCGTCATCCTCTGTTACTGTTCTCGTTACCTGCTCTGAATCCAACCATTTCGGATCCATGGCCACCAGTTTGTACAACTGAAGTCCTTTCCCTTCTAGCATCTTTGGACCCTCTACCACTGTTCTTACCATAAACACCTCTCCCTGGATCTCCACGTAAAACCAACGACTCTTTCTCCTGGCACCTTCCTTTCTGGCTTCTTCACCGTCTCCGGTGCCTCTGCATTGCCTTGGTTCTAACCGCCTTTTCACCACCCGCTAATTCTCCCTCCGTCGTTGCAACCTTCGCCGCCGCTGGGACATTTAAAACCTGAAGCCCCCTTTTTCAAGCCTCCTGCATCTTCATTCCGATCCTCTGTTTCCCTGTCGTCTTCCTCCATTACTGTTCTAGTTACCTTCTGGCTCATAATTTACACTGATCTTCCAAACAAACATCAGTGTAAAACTTTTACATGACTAGTTCATCTTTTGCACTTATCCAGTGGACCGTTTTTTCAAATACATTGGTGTAATTTTGTATTTACACGGCATCCAAATTAAGCCTTAAAAGAAATCTTCCTTAGCTAGGGGGTGAAAGCAAGTTGGGTACCTACTAAGAAGATTTTATATTATAAACTTTTGGACCCTAATATAAATAAAAATAATCATTTTAACATATTTAGAATAGGCTAACTTTTTTTAAAATACTAAATAAGGGTAAAAATACGGTTCAAATATGAGTTCTTCTAAAGCAATTAGAAAACCACATGAAGCACTGTAACAGGTATACAGATCGATGGTTTGGTTCCAGCTATTAAGCTTGTTAAAAGTATTTAAAGCAGTTTTGAACACCATTAAAACCTGAAAATCAAGATTGGAAGAGGTTTGTGAGTACGCTAAGTGGAGAAGCAAGATACATAGAACGAAATGCAAGAACACAAGAATGGGCTTTGTCATTTTTGCTTGTAGCAAGTCAATAATTACAAGGGTGAACAAAGAAGTAGAGATTTATGATCAATATTTATTCATCTTAGGGGAGATTTATTCAGTGGTTTGGAGGAGGAATGAATAGGTAAAGGACTAAGGGCCTGTTCATTTGCTCTTAAGTGTGACATCTGAAATTACATTAATTACAACTTAAAATGTTATTTTGAATTTTGAAAATTATCAAATATACATTTGACTTTAGAGTTTTTTGCTTGTCGTTTTTTGGGTGTATCATTAGAAAACAAATAGTTATATGATTAGAGAGGAATCAAACAACCATTTTTCTCTTAAAGTTAAAAGATTACTCTTAAACAAAGAGGCCTAAATCCCTTCTGAATCTGTCAAACCGAACCTGGGAATAGCACCAAGCTGGAGGCCTCCATTGATGTGAAACGTGAACATTGTTCTGTAAGTCACTGCTTTGTTTTCGTCTGCTAATCTGAATCGAAAGAAGCGCAACAGCACCATCGCTACTATCTTCATCTGCCTATACGCGAAATCCTTCCCCAGACACATCCGAGGGCCCGCCTGCCATCAACAAACCCATATCAATCAATCAAACCCACAAGATGTGTACATCTGCATACAAACATTTAATCTGCTACTGAGTACTAACATGAAATGCTACAAATTTGAAGGGCGATTCAGGTTGGAAAATTCCGTTTTTGAGCCATCTTTCCGGCCGGAAATCTTCAGCATCTTCTCCCCAAAGGCGAGCCATCCTGCCCATGGCATAAGCAATGTAAAGTACAGAATCTCCTTTTCTCAGTCTGAAACCATCTGGAAGGACATCATCTTCTACCGGACACCTCCCATCCTACCATATACACAATTTATTCAACCAACGTTACTACTTCTTAAGCTTGATAAATAGGTCGCAGAGATTGGCAAGCTAGAGAAGATAACTACCACGGGGACGGCAGGATAGAGCCTCAGAGTCTCTGTTAATGCTGCGTGGAGATAATGCATCTTCTCCATTGCTGCGTCGGTTAAATTTGAGATGACGAATTCGTCGATGTTAGCTTCGTTGGGTTCACCGTTGAAGGCTTCTGTAACTTCTTGTGCTATCTTTTCTTGTATAAGAGGGTGCTTGCAGAGCATGTAGAAGAACCATGAGAGGGTGTTGGAGGTTGTGTCTTTACCGGCAAACATGAAGTTCAGAATTATGTCTCTGAGATATTGATCATTTAAGGTCATTGGATCCTTCTCACTTTCCACAATAAACCTCGAAAGTATGTCTTCCTTTTCATTCTATCAATCCAACAGCTTTAATTAACGAAAATGAAGACCATGTTGGAACAATAAGCAAAATTATTGGAAATCCTGGCAGAATACTCACAGAGTCTCCTTTTACAGAAAGCTGCTTCCTCTTGCTTTGAATTAGCTCGTAGATCAAATCATCTATGATTTTTATGTTCTTCTTAAGTTTGGCTTCCGACCCCATATTAAGAAACCTCTTCACCTTCCATAAAGGATCGGCATATCGCCAAGACACCAATTCATTCGATTCATCAAATGCTTTTATGAACGAAACTCCTTGCTTGCTTGATCCCCCCAAGCAATCCAAGTCCATCCCAAACCCAACTTTGAATATGGAATCCAAAGTGCATCTCATCAGTAAATCCTGCAATAGAACGACGATATATGTATCAATCTTCGTTACACAGTGAAAACCATGACTTCATAGATCAATGAAGTATGTTTGTTAGTGATTATTAATGGGTTATTTATTCCTGACTACTTGCTTGTATGTCAAGCGTCTGGTTTGTGATGGCAAATTCCAGGATGATCCCAGCCAACTTGGCAGCCTTTCTTCTGAAAACAGCACAGCTGAAATCCTTCAGGACCCTGGTAGAGAATTCGAAGCTTGCGAGCTTTCGCTGTTGACGCCATCTATCGCCATCGGCGGCAAAGATGCCGTGCCCAACGAGATCTGTTAATATGTCTTGATTGTAGTGGCCTTTGGAGTATTTATCAAAATTGGTCTTGAGTACGTATTCGATGTTTCGTGGATCTGTCGTGTAGATCTGACTGTGTGATGGAGCAAGGAAACGGAAGGTTTGATGCGTGCGTGCTACTTGGGTCAGGTAGTCGTATATCCTGCTGAAATGCAAGAATTGATGGAAGATGGTTCCCTTTACTGGGGCGTATCGAGAATCCATGAGCGACTTCCCCATGAAGATTTTCGCTAGTAACGCACAGAAGCAACTGAAGAGAAGAAACAGAGCAACTGATGCAACAGTGAGAAAATCAGAGACGAAATCCATCTCTCAACTAATTAATTGGAAGAGAAATTAAGATGTCGAGGAATGAACTTGAGTTTCAAGCTCTTAGATATGTTTTCCTGTGTTGAACAGAAAGAGCGGTGTTTGAATACAAATCACGTCATATCATCATCGACCAGAAAGAGCGCCTCACAACGACCTCACACTTACATCCCACCATGCATTGGGAATATCTCTCGTATTTATATGTTATTATTCACGGGAGATGTTCCAATGTTTGATGAGATATTCATGTGAATTCAGCTTGAGGCTCCTTGAGTGGAGCAGATCCCAATTCCACGGGAGACCAGACGTAGAATGAAGTGTAGTGGGAATAATCCAAGAAAATAAAAAAATTGTAGAGGAAAAGTTGAATATAGACCGGAAGAAAATAATGCGACATCACAGATATAAATTCATCACGTCATTACTCTGTTTTTAATTCTTGTTCTTTGCCTCTAATGTTTAAGTCACAAGATCTAAAGAAAAGGTAATTCGATTTCATTCGAGTCATATACTTATCTATCATGAATTGAGAAATGTGTAGCTGCAATTTAGGGCCACTAGAGAGTGGATAAAAAAAATGAATAGGAAATATGGGCTCAGCTTAAGGGGGTTGGTGGGGGTGGGGATAAATTCGAGTTGGGATCACCTATTGATAAAACAAGTTCCAACACCCTATCATTAATCTGACACCACACACATCTTGCTATAAAACTGGGGCTCACTATAAAAGTAGGACCTGCCATGTATGAGGAGTTCAGATCTGTGCCCCACAAGGAGGCACCCCACAACGTTCCACAGCACATCCCTGCCATATATTGGAAACTAAGGTTTTAAAAACCGACTCAGAAATGGAACCGTTCTAGCTACCAGTTTTTGAGTCAATGGTTTGATCGTCCGAGTCGAACGATTTGGATGGTTTGTTATTAGGGCAAATGTTTTATGAGTTGTGAAATTTGAAAAAGGAGAGAAGAGATGTCAGCCGAGAAAAAAAAACAAAAGAAAGAATAAAAGAAAGAAAGAAAGAAAGGAGAGGAAAAAAGAAAAGAAGAGAAAGGAAAGGAAGGAGGGAAGAAGGAGGAGGGAAGGAGGGAAGAAGAAGGAAGAGGAGGTGATTCGATGCTCACCGGTGATGAAAATGGCGATGGCGATGGCAACGATGACAGCGACAACAAACTCTGAGTTCTCAGATCTTCTTCTTCTTCTTCTTCTTCTTCTACAGTCAACGGTTTTTGACCTAGGAACGGGTTAGGATTGAAACATAATTGTTTGCTTGGACGGTTTCTAGGTTGAACGGTCCGACCGTTCGGGTCAATGATGGTTCAAAAACATTGTTGGAAACATCTCTTGATGATAGTATCGGAATCGATGATGTCATCATCGGGAGATGTTCCCAATACCGATAGGGATGTGTTGTGGGACGTTGTGGGGTGCAGATGTGAACTCATGTATGAGATGTGTGGTGTTAAAGGTTGGTAGGGTGTTGGAATGTATTCTATTGCATGGTAATCTAGACTTCATAAATATATTTGGAGAATTAATTCATAAATTCTATGGTGGAGTGGACCCTAAAAATGCCTATAAAAAGGGACATAACATACTTCTACTGGTCTAAAAACATTCACCTCTCAAATCTCAAGACAAACCACCATTACAAAAGGCAAAACATCAAGGAAATTACAAAATTATCAATTTTTGACTTTTCAACAGGTTTTTCAATTATTAATTTTGACTTTTCAATAAGTATCCTTAAAAACCTATTCAAGGATCTCAACTAGCTTAAGCTTTTAGGTTGAATGGTTGTTTGAGATGGTATCAAAGCCTATTTGGCAAGTTGTTTAGTGTTTGATATCTCATTTTCTTCATTATAATTGAATCAGTTTTCAGTCCAATGGACTTTTCACATGAAGAGGCCTGTTAGAGAATAAAAACCTATTTATCTCACCTAATAACTTAAACTTTTAGGTAACGGTTTCTTGAGGAGTTTGAATTATGTCCCAGCAAGGCAAACTGTACATTAAAAACATCTCACCATGGAAGGTCCTTAATCTGTACCCTTCCTTAAGACTACTTTGGTGGTAGCGACATTTGGCCTGAGCTTACAAGTATCCTCCACTTTCATGCATATACACCAGGGATACAAACGGATCGATTCAAATTAGGGTATATATCCGAATCGGATCCAACATTGTTAATTGTAGATCCGATTGGATCTGATAGACATGGATTTGAATTCGAATCTGATTGAGAAGTCAGATATTTGGATCTGATCTGATCCAATTTGTTTTTTTTTTTTAATTATAAATTATCAAAAGAAAAATAAAATATAATAATTTAAATGAAGAAAAAGAAAAAAGCACAAATACTTTTTAATTATTTTCATCATATATACATGCTTTTTTATAAAAAAATAAATAATATAATAAATTTACAAAAATACATATATATATATATATTGTATATATTTATATAAATAAATATATAGCATATATATCGCATTGGATGAGGGGGGCGATCCGAATCCGATCCAAAGATCTGAATCGAGGTGATCCGAATAGACCAAATAGAATCAGATCTCGGATCGGATCAGATCCATTTGCACCCCTATACACTCTTAGGTTCAAGAATTTGGATCTCATCCTCGCAGAATCCTCATATCTATCATACAGCATTTGCAGCTGTGCATTGGAAACATCAGGTGCTGGGAGGAAGAAATCCAACCTTCAACACTTTATCCAACTTACAGTGGGTGATAAAATTACCGACTTCCCATTTTATTCTCTACTTTTCCATTCTTTCACTTCTCATTTAAATATCTCAACGTTTACAAGAAAGTTGGAAGCCTAGAGAGCGTAAAATAATCACTTCCAAAGGTCCTTGTTGATTAATGACCCATTAGTAGGGAGGTTGAGACTAAGCCCCAAAAATCAGGAGAACAAGGCCTTTGTGTATAGAAGCTTTCATTGATACAGTGGAGGAATTTCTTGAAATTTCAACAAGACCCAATAAGTCTTGGAGAAAGTTGTTGTACAGTGTGGATGGTGGAGCCTTGGGAGCCATGGCCATGTAGAATATTATGATGGGTGTTTGGTATGGTTTCATTTTATTTGAAAAACGGTGTAAGCTCATTGTATTGTAGGCGTTTATCTCAAAATGTAATTGATAATAGTGTTTTTTTTTAATAAACATTTGTCTCAGTTTATGTGTGCGTTAACTAATGAGGGAAGTTTCATTTTAATATTTTCCCTAATATTAAGGTGTTTATTTACTGTTGGACTTATGTGGTGCCCAATGGCACTTAAGGGAGTCTAATGGTGCCTAGGTTAAACGATACTAAAAAAACATTTATCAACTATTTTCTGTCCACTTTAAAATAAATCAAATAAACAGAAGTTATATCTTAGGCATGGGCCTGACCCTGGGTTCTGGGCCTGAAACATAAGCCCTAGCCCAGGTCTACACGGGCCCAGGCTAAGCCGGGTCTGATTCTGGGCCAATGTCTTTCATATATAAAATATTACGTATTTATAATATTTTGTATTAAATAATATAACATGCATGTACATTTTTTTTTACATTATATAATGTAAAATATTACATATAAATTATACATGTCATGTTATAATATTTATATATAAAAATATAATATAATGTAAAATAACATATATACATATATATATACACTATACACAAAATGTGTAAGTTTAAATATATGGACCGGTCCAAACCCAGTCTGGACTTAAAGTATTAAACCCAAGTCTGGCCCTAAAATTTGTGAACCTGATATGAGCTCATGCCTGGGCCGAGCCTAAATACAAAACTGAGGCCCAAGCCAGGCTGAGCCTTAGCTTCGCCTTAGCTAGAGCTTCCCTCCTCTCATCATTCAGGCCAGCTTTTCTTCCATACAAATTTGTCCTTGTTATTTGTATTTTGTTTATTCTTCGATATTCCCGTCTTTTTCATTAAGCCAAATTAAATCCTGGGCTTATGTATTTTCAAAACCCAAGTGGCTTCTTTACAATATTTGGTTTTCTTTCTTGTTTTTTTTTGGTCCAAATTGTTTCATGATTTGGAACTTATACATCTGCTTACGTATATGCTGTTAGTTTTAGTTCCTTTGCTCTGTTCATATTTTGGCTTTGCAATAACACTAAATACTTGGATTTGATTTTCAGAGATAAATTACTCTTTGTTATTTTTATTCTGATAGTCAAAACTTCCACAGCCGGTTTGATGATTTACAGAAATGTGTGTAAACTCACTTAAAATTTGCTTTAGGGTTGCATAAAATAATTAATTGCACAATCGAACTTGATATGCGATACCTATAATAGGATAAATCTCTTAAATTATTTTTACGGTTTATAAAATTGATAAACTGTACTTTTATTTTTTAGATATTGTTTTGTGGTACCTTTAAGTTTTTTTGACAATTGTCTAAAACCTCTCTTGTCGTTAATTTTCCATCATATTCCGTTCACATGTGACATTATGCGAGTGATAATTATTTAAAAATTCCTAAAATATCCTTATTGTTTATGGTTGTTGTTGGAAGTTGCAATGGTGGCAATGATTTTGGTATTGTCATTGCAGGCAAGGGCGGCCACACGGTTGCCGGTGCTAGAGTCGACCCTCTTTCCTTTTCGCCAACCTAGAACTGGCCTCTCTCTCTGCAACGGACATTCCTGGAAAAGATGATGATGCCGGTGGTAGTTCTCCGTTCATCGTCAAGAGATGAAGATGGAGGAAAGAGAAACAGAGGAATAAGGAGAAAGAGAAACAGAGGAAGGAGAAAGAGAAGAAAACATGTGACATCGAGTACGATCCACCCAAGCCAAAAGCAAATTGCTGGAGAGATATGAGCCAATCCCATTTACTTTCTTAAGTCTTGATAGAGAAATCTGTTGTGGGAAAAAGAGAAATATCAAAGGAAAACACAGTCGATCAGAGAAAGAAGAACAAACATTATGGACGAGAAGATGGAGTTGATTACAAGCTCA